GTGTGTGTATGTGTGTGTGTGTGTGTCTAAGATCTGGAGAACAAGACTGGACCATACAATGCCCTGATAATATTTTCCAACTGGATTCCCAAAAAGGAGGCATCTGGGGTCAGGGCTTTTGATACCAATTGGAACCCCGCCCTGCAGAAGCACTTGTTCCAGAGACCCATATGACTCCTGGAGGACAAAAAAAGTGGCAAAATGATTTCCAGTTCCTTGAAAGGCACACCGATCTGGAGAACAAGACTGGACCATACAATGCCCTGATAATATTTTCCAACTGGATTCCCAAAAAGGAGGCATCTGGGGTCAGGGCTTTTGATACCAATTGGAACCCCGCCCTGCAGAAGCACTTGTTCCAGAGACCCATATGACTCCTGGAGGACAAAAAAAGTGGCAAAATGATTTCCAGTTCCTTGAAAGGCACACCTTAATATTTCTGGTTTCACTCCATAGTTTTTCCGGTTACAGTCAACAGAGTTTAGTAATGCAAATCTGTTCTTTATGTGGACTTCAACTTCATGAAAAATGCTTAGATTATATTTTGGCACTGCAATACTTTTAGTGTTCTTTTTCAGCTTTACTGTGATGTTGGATATTAACAATTCATGAGCAGTATCACAGTCTGCTCCTGGTTTTGTTTTGGCTGAGAGAATACAGCTTCTCCGTCTCATGCTTCCAATTACATACGGTAGTCTATTTGATGTCTGTATTGACTATTTGGTAATGTCCAAATGAATATCCATCTGTTCATTTTGAAGCGTATGCAATAAACATGTATTGTTGGCTTCACAGAATTCTATGACTTGTTTTCCTGCTTCATTGCTGTCCTCTAGCCTAGGCCATGTTTTCAACCACAAGTTTAATGTGTGAGGTGCAGACCAGCAACATTCAGCCTCCTGCCACTTGTCCAGAGAAGAGCTTTTGAGTGGCAAGCTGGGGCATTAAGAAAGATTTAAAGGGCCTGTGGTCTGGCTGCAGTAGGAAGTGGTTAATACTGTGTGTTTTCCTTCTGGGGTTTTGTGGCTGCAGGCAAACTTGAAGAAGTTCATGGAATATGTCCAGATACTGAATGTGGAGAAGGTCAGCAGGCTGCTAGAGAAGGGACTGGACCCCAACTTCCATGATCCGGACAGTGGAGGTGAGTGGAGCCCTTCTCCAAGGAAAGGATTCAGAGAGGGGGAGGAAGGCCAGGAACCAGTGGGGAGAGATAACAGGAAGGGAGGGTGTTAGAAGGGTTCTTGGGAAAGCAAAGGAAAGGAGGAACGTGGTGGGAACAGGGGCTTTCTTTAGTTCTTGGAGCTGCTGCTGAATTTTAAGACAAGAGTAAATCTAGAATTCCAAGGCATTCCTTTCCCATTTCATTTCCATGGAAGGCAGTTGTGTGGAAAGAGCTGCATGAGCATGGATCCAGAGGAGAGGCTTCAAGCTCTTGTTTGCATGTTCCACTGAGTCCTTCTTTTCACTGCAGTGGGAAAAAGAGTCTCACCCATGGGTATCTGAGAATCTCTGGCGAGGCTGTCCTTGACAGTTGAGATGAGGAGGAAGACCAACCTGGTGCCCTCTGAGTGTGCTCACCTGGTAAATAGTCCCACTTCTGCCAGGCTGGTTGGGGACGATGGGAGCTGCAATACAATACATCTGCAGGGCTCCGGGGAGGGGGAGATTGCTGTGAAGTATCTTCAGAGGATGAATTCACCCAAAGGTTTTCTGAAATGATTCTAGAGATGCAACCCCAGGCTTAGAATCTCTGGTGTTGTCTGTTTGCACTCATGAAGGAACCCAGTGTGGAAAAGAAACACTTTTGGATTTAAAATTTCTAAGCTGCATTTTAGATCTGTTCAGTTTAAAAAGCAGGAAAGAGAAGAAATGGTTAAGTTGGTTGATAGGCAGTGTAGGCACCCTAGCTTCCTTGGTGCAGCTTTGCCAGAGGCGTATTGGTGGGATCAGGGGCCAGAAGCTGCAGTTACAGTGCAGTCAACTTGTCTGAGAGTAAGTCAAGGCCACTGGGATGGTGCAGTGAATGTCAGAATGGAGGAACCTCAGTCCAGGCTCAGACAGGCTGAGGGAGCCAAGTTTGAGTTTAATAACTCAAGGTTGTCTGCTTCCTTACCTGGTCATTTATTAAAATATTTAAACCTTGTATTCCCAGTAGCTCAAACCTGTTTACAAGCCACACAACTGAGGTACAACAAAAACCAAGTAATTAGCAGGTAAAAAAGCAAGCAAGCAAGCAAGCAAGCAAGCAAGCAAGCAAGCAAACAAACAAACAAACAAACAAACAAACAAACAAATAAATGTGCCAGTATTTCTTTGGGCTCCGTGGTGGACCATCACATGTAAAAGAGACAATTGGAGTGGAAAAAGAGGGAGCAGCCTGGAAATAGAGTTAGGAACAGAAGAAGCTGTTTTGCACCAGATCAGTCCCTTGTTTCTTCTTAGTCCTCTCTTGCCAGCTCTGACTGACAGCAATGACCAACCGTTTCAGGTTTCAGGCGGGAACCATTTCCTAGCCTTCCCCGGAGATTCCCGGTGTTCCCTGGCAGACTGCCGTGTAAGCCCCAACCAGTCTGACCCTGCTTAGCTTCCCCAGTCAGACAAGACTGAGTGTTGAGGGTGCTCCAGTGAGTTGGTTCAGAGTGTCTCGTTACATCAGATTGGAGGAAAGTCCTTTTTCAGACTTTGACTTCCAGAAGATCCCAGTGGGCACAGCCAGTGGCTGGGCTCGCCTGGGAATCCTGGGAGCTGTAGTGCAGAGAAAGTAGCTTGTGTCTCTGAACGGCATGCACTCGGAGCTTGTTTCACTTGAAGGGAGGACTAGGGGGCTAAGCCAACAGCTAGCTGCACACAGAAGGTGGGCTTTAGGGGGGATGTGATGGAAGAGGAAGGGGAGGATAGTGAGACAGGGCCAGGCCTAGTGAGTAGCATTGAAGACTAGGCAGTCATTCAAGGGAGTTGGGGGGCCTTGATGGTACTGTGGGTTCCCAAACAAGGGGCAAAGGTGTCGCTTGTGCAGGTGCTGTGAAGTGAGGAGAAAAAGCAGACAGGGAGCTTGGGCTGAAGACAGAAGTGCAGGGAAGCCCTGGAAAGGAGGTGGTGCAGAGGTATAATCATGGACTGAGCCGTGGGGAGGGAGCATCTCCTCCCATCATTTTGGGTGAGCCTAATCTCCCTCCTTCCCTCCCTTTCCAGCTTGGTCCACGAGCTTCCACAGGGCTTAAGAAGCAATTATGCCTTGCTTATTAAACTTAAGTTGGTGCTTTTAAGAACATGAAACACATTCCGTATCATTTCCATGAGCGGCTTGCTCATCTAATAGCACCTCCTGATATATTTATGAAGTCAGACGGTATAGATTCTTTGCTTTTATTCAAACACCAATTAATCACAAAGCTACAAGGCACTGGAAACAGAGCTGCTCACGCTGCATCCTAAGGCAACGTTTGTCACTCTTCTTGCCAGCTGGCAAACTGGAGAATAAGAAACAGAAAAAGCTGGAAATAGAAAACATCAATATTTTCTCATTTGTGCTTGGAAAGAGATGGGGCCAAGCATCCACCTTAGGCAGCCATGGAAGAAGACAGCCTTTTAAGGCCATCTTTCTCCAGTGCAGCACCTTCTAGGAGTGTCACAGGAGTACAATCCCGGTTGGACCAGTCCGGCTGGGGATGGTGGGAATTACAGTTCAGTTGCAGGATAAGGGTATGAGGTCGGAGAAGGCTACGTAAAAGAAACTAGCTCATGAAGGAGCAGCAACCCCCCCCCAAGATGCCATGGTAAATATGCTTTGAATTATGCTTTGGAAAAAGTGGAGATTTTGTCAGAATCAATTGATAGTTCTTGTCGTATTCCAGGACAAATGCTATGTTGAATTAATGTGGTGAAAGCTAGAACTGGGGTGCTGGGGTTTATCTCCCAGTCCTCCAGTAGGACTCCAGCAGCCACTGGCAAAGAGCAGGCTGGTGGGATTCACTTTAGACATTTTGCTGTCCTGAAGCAGAGTCCAGATGTCCAAATGCCAGCTTTCTGTTGTGAAAGATATCCTGTCCCTGCGTTTATTCATCCAAAGGATAACAGGATTGCTGGGCCATTAAAAGATGAATGGCGTCTTTTGGCTGCAGAGAGATTTCTGTGCTTTCCAGAGACTTTGGAGGGCCCTGGGTTGCCCACCAAGGTTTGGGGACAGATCAGGTTTTTGTGGGCAGAGGAGCAACAGCCAGCAAAGATGCTGGTGGCCAAATGGAGAGGCCTCGCTGACATGTGGAGAGGCTTCCTCAAGACCTGGTGCTGTGAGCCCATAAATGTTTATAGGCTGGAAATAATCCAACTAGCAGCGCTTTATGCACCTAATGCTTCATGTGGGTAAGCACAGACTTGTCAAAAGAGGCATTGAAAAGAAGCAGCTGAGACTCCTTAGCCCTGTCCTCTGTCTAGTTTCTTTGGAGAGAGGGGGGGGGTTGGGGTATGTGTGAACGTGAGAGCAGTGTTTAACTTCCCCTTCCAGGTATGTTTCCAAGGAGAACCTTTCCTGGTGGGAAGGAAAGCATGTGTGTATGTGCAGTTGAGTGTGGATGTGTATCAGAGAAGGAGGGGAAATGCCCTGAGAGTTTAGCATCCTCTCACTCTTAGTGGTGATCTAGTCCTTTTAGGGTGTGTGTTTCATACTGCGTCATGCCTGTGGAAGCAGAGAAGGGGTTGCTGATTCAGGAGCTCCGGGGAAGGAAATAAGACCAGCCTGCTAAGCTGGCAGCCCTGCCCTGAGAGCATCTCATGGAGGCCTTCTGATTTCTGCAGAAAGCCACTGCATGTAATTCTGTTCTGAGAAAGGACCCTTGCAAACAGACCATGGGTTCAGTTCTAAAATGCTGGGAAACCTCTCCTGGGGTAGCCAGAAGGACGCGGGCAGCCATATTGTTCCTCCCCACTCACCACCATGTAGACCAGTGGTTCTTAACCTTTGTTACTTGGATGCTTTTGAACTGCAACTCCCAGAAACCCCAGTCAGGACAGCTGGTGGTGAAGGCTTCTGGGAGTTGCAGTCCAAAACTCCTGAGTAACCCAAGGTTAAGAACCAGTGATGTAGACTTATTTTCTGCTCTTCTTTGTAAAGTTCAAAGAAACATCTGTAACCTCTGTGCTGAGACTGACACTCAATGGCACCAAGTGTTTCCAGAACACAGGACACTCTCAGGGTCAATCTTACCCTTCTAGGAGGTGTGGGCAGAGTTAAGAACAATGACAGAGCTGGATGAGCAAGGCCGAGCCCTCCGGAAGGATTTGATGGCAAGGGGGACTCCAACCTGGCTCTCTTCTGCTGTTTTTTCCCCCTCTTCCTTTTACATGTCTTTTTTCATAGACTGATTGATTGATTGATTGATTGATTGATTGATTGATTGATTGATTGAGTGAGTGAGTGAGTGAGTGAGCGAGCGAGCGAGCGAGCGAGCGAGTGAGTGAGTGTGTTATCCGTCTGTCCGTCCGTCCATCCATCCTTTCTCCTTAAAAAGAACCCAAGGTGGCTTACGTTTTAAAAAGAAAATAGTGTATTTGAAAGCTAAAACAGTAGATATACAAATGTTAAAAAAGAATTAGGCAAGTATTATATTAAAACTGGAAATAAAATCAATACTAAAACACATTTGAAACAACAGAGCACAAATCCATTCAAAAACCCTCTCAGACCATGAGTTATTAAGGGAAAGCCTGCCTGAAGGGAAAGCCTGCCTGAAGAGAAAGGTCTTTTCCTGCTTGAGGAAGGACAGCAAAAATCGGGCTAGTCTGGCCTCCTGTCAGAGAGAGTTCCAGGTATCTGGGTGGGAGTAAACACTTTTTAATGCACAAGTGGTAGGAAGCATCGCCTGACTCTACTGTAGAAGCAGGGCATGCTAGGTGGGGAGGGGACGGGTACTGTGTGGGTTGCCCATGAGACCCGCGGGGGGAGGGCTTGTCCTTCGCTCCCTTGGAGAGGGGTGCAGGCAGGGCAACGTCAAGAGACCTGATTTCTGAACATGATCCTGAGGTCTGTGCCTTCTCTTTCCCATGGGTGGGGTGGGGCTATGCTGCAGAATGCCCTCTGACCATGGCCGCTCAGCTGGAGTACTCCGCCGACATGATTAAAGCCCTGAGGAATGGTGGCGCCCATCTGGATTTCCGGACGCGGGAAGGGATGACGGCTCTCCACAAAGCAGTTCGGTGTCGGAATCACACTGCCCTGATGGTAAGGCTCTTGGAGCAGAGGGACTCCTTTTTCGGAAGGTAGGGGCCCTTCGCCCACCTTCCTATCCCTCCTCCCATCCAGCAGGGGCTGTGTCACAAGGGGTCTAGAGCTTGCCCGTGCATGAGGAAAAGGAGCTTGAGCCGTTAGGTCTCCATGTTAGTGCTCTCCTCACAGTCTAGCTCCTTCTATGCAGAAAAGAATCCCAGGCCACTTGGCCTCAAAGGCATCCTAGGAATTTTTCTAGCTGGAGCAGAGCTGTATAGCGCTGTGGGTACCATCAAAATGGACTATCAACATGAATTGGAGAGGGGATTTTAAAAATGTGGGAGCACAGAGAAAAGACACCCATATTTTAAACTTCTGAATGTGCTAATACATTTCACTTTGGAGTAGACACACTTCTCCAAATCACAACTACACTATTATCTTATTAATTAATTTTGATGGAGGACCAATAGCTTTCTATTAGGGAAAACTGACAGCAAAACAACAACAACAACAACAACAACAACAACAACAACAACAAGAAGAGACTTTCAGATGAAACTGGAAACTGGAAGCTCCTCTCAAGAATCTCCTCTCAGTTCTGGCTGCAGATTAATTGACTGGGGAGAGACGTGGAATGGCAGAGGAGTGGCTGCACCTTTGGCTGTGGGTCTCAGGTTCTACAAGGCTGGAGGCTTGCCAGGGGTGGAGGTGGACCCTGGCCATTTCCTGGGGGTTTCCTTGTGTGTATGTGTTTTGTTTTGGTTTTGGTAAAGAAGGGGGTATTTTAAGCCTGAAACAAGTACCACACATCTGGAGGCATCTGAGCAGCACCGGTGAGAGTGGCAGCAGTTGCCTTTTGCCATGCAGGTGCTGCACTGGGCTCCTGGTGGTTGGACTAGATGGTCTCCAGGGTCTCCTCAGCCCTATGATTCTGTGCAGGGAAGAAAGAAGGGTCCTTGCCCCCCCCATGGGTGGCCTCTTGCTAGGCCTGGTAGAAGATGGATCTGTGCCCCGTTGGCCTATACGTCTGTCTTTAGCACACTGGTGGTTGAACAAGGATGGGAAGAGCTCCCTTCCTCCAGCCAGCTGGTCCAAAAGTAACTTGCCCATGTTTTGGGGTGAAGCATATGGGAACTAGCTGCGAATGTCCTTCTCAGGTTGGCTCAAATGTCCTCTCAAGTTGTCTACTTGCACTGGGATGAGCCCAGGGGACAGACTCGGACAGAAGGATGGTCCCCCAGCAGCCTCTGAGCTCACTGCAGGGGATCCGATTCCAACATGGCCCAATGGAACTGGGAGCCTCTGGCACCTGATTCTTTGTCCTGAGCTGCAGCCTCAGAACCTTCAGCATCAGGCCCAGGGATGCAAACAGGCACCTCGTTTCAGTCGAGGGTATGCCAGCTTTTGAAGCTTTCTTTCTTTCTTTTTTTTTTTTTTTGAAAACCTGGGTTTTAAGAGGAGGAAAAGTAGTTCTAGGGCACCTGAGGATGATCTGAGGGAAGGCAGCTGAGCATAATTGCTTTCTTTCAGATTCAGGTACCATATTCCTAGTGTTCAAAGTCTTCTGCTGCTCCAGCATTCTGTGTACCAGTCCTGCATGCCAGGTCATTCCTACGCTCCTTCATGGCTTTGAAAAGTTATTTTCTGGACTGTCACTCATGGAATGCCTCAAGCCAGCCCAATTCTGGCCAGTTTCTGAGATCTGCTGGGCCTGTATTGCAGACAGGTGGTTGAGATGGGCCTGAGGGCATTAGGTGGGTTCCCTGAGAAATTAGAATGGAGGGCTCAGCTTCTCAAATGCTTTGGGAAGCATTTTTTTTGCTATTTATTATTTAGTTAGCTGGTTAAAATATATTTACCCTACCTTTCTCCTTTAAAAGGACCCAAGGCAGCTTACATCATTGAAAACCATATTTAAAGATGTAAACAATGAGTATACAATGATGGTTTACATCATTAAAAGATAATATTAAAGCGAAAAACAGTAAATATGCAAATATTAAAAAGGAACAAACAAATACCACAAGTAGCGGTAAACACAAGTAGTACTAAAAACTCAGTAGTAGTGGTAAACACAGTACTAAAAACTCAGTTAATACAGTAATGTGTAACAACCCATCTAAAAATCAAAATCATGTAGCCAGACACTGGGGGAAAGCTTGCCTGAAGAGAAAGGTCTTTGTCTGCTTGTCGAAGGACAGCCAAGATGGGGCCAGGCCGGCCTCTTGTAGAAGAGAGTTCCAAAGTCTGGGAGCAGCATCAGATAAGGCCTCTCCCTTGTCTTCACCAAGCACACCTGTGAAGGTGGAGGGACTGAGAGAAAGGCCTCTCCTAACGATATTAACTCATTTAATGATCTGCACATTTCACACACTAGCAAGGTTATGCTCAAAATCCTACAAGATAGGCTGCAGCAGTATGTGGACCGAGAACTCCCAGAAGTACAAGCTGGATTTCGAAGGAGCAGAGGAACTAGAGACCAAATTGCTAACATGCACTGGATTATGTAGAAAGCCAGAGAGTTCCCCAAAACATCTACTTCTGCTTTATTGACTATGCAAAAGCCTTTGACTGTGTGGACCACAGCAAACTATGGCAAGTTCTTAAAGAAATGGGAGTGCCTGACCACCTTATCCATCTCCTGAGAA